TCTATAGTATTGGTTTACATTGAATATTATTAATATATGAATCTGGAGTTTGGGCATTATTCAAGATAAGTTTCATAAGCTTGAGATCAAACCTCAAGAAAACAATAATTTATTTGTATTTCATTATTTTATTACATACCAAATAACTTTGTATTTCTTTCAAAAATAGTTAAAATATATTTAAGTACATCTCTTTTACTACAATACATTGTACAAATAGATAAATTTTGTATCTTTTGAAAAAGCCTTTATCTCAACTAGATTTAGTAAATGTAGGAATTGGGGTGAATTTGTTTATTAATTATCTTTTCTTTCAAATATATATATATATATATATATATATATATATACACATAAAAGGAATTTTTAAATTGATCCAAGCATTTACTAAATTGACCCATCTATCATTATTGTTTGAGGATCCAACTAATTTTTTATTGATTTTTTTACCAATTTAGATCTGACAATGAAATATTTTTGATGATGGTTAGGATGGATGAGTCAATTTAGTAAATGCTTGGGTCAATTTAACAATTCTTTTATATGTATATATATATATATATATATATTTATATAAAAGAATTGATTAAATAAAACTATATTTGAATCTACTTTATGAAAACTAAAAATTTAAAATAGAATTAAAATAAATACAAAATCATTTCATTAGTTGTCTTCATATTATATATCAAACTTCACTATAAAGAATAATTTGAAATATGAGGTTTATTTCAAACTTCACTCTAGGGTTTATTTTTCTTTATAGAAACATCATTCAAAGAAATGTAAAAATTAAAATTTCCATCCAAATTGTGAATATTACTTTTAATTTTTTTTAAATATTTATATCCAAATAATATTAAGTTTTTTAAAAAATAAATTGTATTAAATAAAAAATTTAACAGTATCAAAATAAGATGTATATATAACACCACATTTTTTTCAATTTCTACCACAATTTGCCATGTGCCACCTTCCACTATAATTTTTCTATTGCCACCACAATATTTTCTATTGCCATTTTCCACATGCCATTGCTATTTTTACTATTGCACCACAACTTGCCACCCACTCAATATAATTTTTTAATTTTCTTTCTTCCAATTATTTTTTATTATTTTTTAAATATTTAACTATTGTTTAAAAAATAGTATATAAAGTAAATTTAATTTTAATATAAGATAGATAATTTTTTAATAAAAATGAGTTTTGGTGGCAATAGCAAAAACTATGGTAGAATATGATGGATGGCAAATTGTGATGGTGATAGAAGTATATATATATATATATATATATATATAATTTTTAAATAAATCTATATATTTTAAAAAAATCTTCAATCTACGTATCAAAATTAAATCATAAACATTATAAAATAAAAATAAATTATATTTTTAGAAACATTTTAGATAGTAAACTATATATATATAAATATATATCATAATAATAAATTATTAAACAAAACTATTGTATTGTACAAATTGAAGTGCTTATCTTTCTATAAAGAAAAATAAACCTCTATCTATCTATCTAACTATTTATCTTTTCCAACCAAATTAATGTAGATTTTTAAGAGAATAAAAAATAAAAAATATTACATTGATTTATTTAATATATTTGTAATAATTATTATGGAAAAAATTATAATTAATTTAAATATATTAAATATATTTACACACGTCAGTATGAAAAAGATTAAATCTCAAATAATCTTCATTTAAATATTAAAATTTAATGTATAAATTGTAATAAATTAAAATTAATAATTAAAGAAGCAAAAAATATGTATTAAATTGCATATTAATATCTGAAAATTCCTATAAAAGACAGGGACGAACCTTCACCATAACACTTTATTTTATCAACTTCAAATACATCATCATTAGTTTTCACATTCTTAGCAACTATTAACTTTTAGAGCCCACCTATATTTTTTGAGATTTTTTATTATCTTCAAGTGCACATCACATTCTCATAAATGGGAATCTAAAATTTGATAGATTTAAACAATAAGATCCATGCTGATGATTTAGAAAGAAAATGATGTAAAAAGAAAAAGAAATAGAAAAAACTGTCTCAAAAACCATAATCTTTATTTTTTACATCATTTTAGGTTGTAAAAAATATTTAAAAATAAAAATTGACCTTCAATTTTACATATGAATGTACAATGAATTAAGAAGTTAGTTAAAATCCTATGTTTAAATATCAAATTGCAAGGTTTGCAATAATTATTACATAAATACAATTTAATTATATCTTATTTGAAAAAATATATATGTTTTAACAAGTATATGTAATCTTAAAAAATCAAAAAATCGAATAAGAGAAAGAGAAACGGAATAATTTCCAAGCATAAATGAATAAAAACTACTTTAAGTTGTTAAATCATTGAAGTCATTGAAATACAAATTTAAATCTAGAAAGTCATATTTCAAAGTAATGACACTTACAAAATTTTAGATTATGTATATTTATTATAGTTTATTTATTTTTATTTATTTATTAAAATAACATTACTTGCAATAAAACTTTAACTGGGGATAAAGTTTTTGTTTTATTCTAGAATAACAATAAGGGTGGTGGAAAGTGAGTGATTTTATGGCACCATTGCAGAATTGCATGATTCTTTTCTTGAATTAGACTAGTTTTTTGAAACTGCCATAACCTCCAAGAATTTAAGATATGCTCTTATATATGTTCAATAACTTAGTCCTACAATTATTTTTCTTATCTTTCAAAAATACAATCAAAACACTTGAAGCCCATTCCGGTTGAAAATAATAATAATACTATATATATTGTCAAGCATCATGATGAAGATGTTAAGTAAAAAATTCAAACTAAACATAAGAAATCATAAGCATTGTGCTTTGATTTGTATGTAAGGAAAATAAAATGTTGTTATTGGTATCATTATACACATGTATGGGCATGTGTCTATGCATGTAGATAAGAGTGTTTTTTTTTTTTTTTTTAAATTTCTTTAATTTTTTTAATTTACTCTATGTGGAATTGAAAATAAACTCCATAATGTGTAAGCAGAAACATATTTACATGAGTTCTAATGCATTCAATAATCATAAAAGTACAACTTATTATCTCCTCTTGATGAAGCATCTCAAATTGCAATAAAAACAAAACCCAAATACTATTTATGTTGAATAATCAATCATATCTAAGATGTTCTCATAAATGAATTTGATTTTAGCTTCCCAATGTGTCTGTACATGAATAAATAAATAAATAATGTTTATATATATATATATATATATTGAATAGGCATGGTAGGCACAAAAAACTTCAACAAGAAAAGGGGACTGATTGAAAACCTTGTGAATCTTTTTAGTATGACCAAAGTCAAGTAAAGGGTTCAGAGTCAAGACTTCATTCTTTCTATGTATTGATTGCCTTTAATGGTTGTATATTCGTCCATTGAAGTCAAGCAAGTCCCTTCAAAATCTAAACTGATGTTGAAGTGAGTCAATCTCTAGCCCTAAATTTCACCCAAAAAGCAAATAATCAAATAGAGGGATCGAGAATGTGAAAGAAAGTAAAGACAAACAACTGATTTCCTTATTCAAAGCCCAATTCCATTTTCAGTCATTCATTTAGGAATGGGTCATTCACAGATATTATTCTTTTCTAATCTTTTTGCATACTTTAAATGTAGAAATTCATTTTCCTCTCCAAAAGAAAGAGTTGGTAGTTGACACTAGCAAAACAATTGCAGATTTAGTTGATTGGTTGATTCCCTCCATATCACAACATGGAAATTTGTTATTTACTAATCTGGTTTTAAATAACAAGGGATTCTCATCTTTGGCAGACTTTGTTGGGTAGGATTAGGGTTTCATGACCACCAACCTGTTTTACTGTGTAACAGATACCTTCATCTAATAGTTTTAGGGTTATCTAAGGTCAACATCAAAGAAATTCCATCCATAATTTTTCTTTGAAATTTTGTTGTGTTGGTGCACCCCATGTACATGGAGGGGGACGTGTAGGGAATCCCCTCCTTGCTTTCCAAATTAGTTACTAAAAGTGGAGCTGAGAATTGTATTCCCTTTAAACCTTGAATAAAGGAACCCATCTTCATGAATCATGAATTGTTTCAATACTCTTCTGTAGGCAATTCCTAAATAATTGATAAATGACAACCCATTGGTAAATGATTAGATTTTTTTTCTTCTAATTCCAAATCTTAACAGAAGTTTTATAGTCCTGTTTCAAATATTCTTCATCAAAATGTAACTACTTTTTGTGCATCAAAGCAATGTTTTGATGTGAGAGGATGGATCAATAAAGATCCAATGGTAGCAAAAAGTGGCAAAAGAGACTCACAGTTTCAAATGCAGCCATGGCTATTGCTGTCACAGGTCACATTTGGGCACCAGTGGCTCAGAAAGCCATACTCCCCACAAGATTTCACCAGCTGCCACATTTTCACATTTTTCTTATATATATATATATATATATATGTAATTTTTTTCAAATATTTTTATGTATTTTTTAAATTTATCAGCATCTTTTGGTGAAAAACACAACCTAATATAGAAAGAAATCGCTAGGGATGTGTCATGGAAGGAACAACAAACAAGAGTGGTCATAACAAGCACAAAATACTTTTGGTCCCAACTTGCCCCTCCCAGCCTCACCATCTTTGGGCTGCTCTGTTGGTGAGCCATGGCCATGGGGTGAAATGTGAAGCTCACAGGGTTTGGTGATAACCCCCCCCCCCCCCCAACCCCCAACCTCCCACCCCACCACTAGGGTTTGGTAGTAGCAGGACAGAAATAGAGGGAGACCGAGAGACACAGAGAGAGAGAGAGAGAGAGAGAGGATACGTGCTGCTGAGAAGATACGGCCTGGAGGGAGGGGGAGGGGGGAGAGTAATTCCTTGGCAGAACCGTCCTACAGGTAGAGAGGGGGGATGGCTACAGGCCACCACGCGGTGGCAGAAGGTAGGCAGAAGAAGAACTGGGTTGTTCCAGCGTTGTTGCCCCCTGTGCTGGTTGTTGTAGTACCACGTACCTTCTGCCTCCCTTCCCTTCTTCTTCTTCCTCTTCTTCTTGCTCGGGGCAGGTGCACCAACGCCAGGCTCACACAACAGCAGGCTGCCTGGCTTAACTCAACACCCCCCCCCCCCCATTGCCCTTGCCCTTCCTCTTTGCCGCACTACTGCTCTCCTGGTTTTAATTCGTCGTCTCGCGTCTTTGCATCCCTCTTTCTCGTCTTCCCTTCCCTTCCTTTAGTGTGCGCCTCAGCTCTAACTTGGCGCCGTAGCTTCCTACTGGCTTGAGGGCGGATTAGTAGAGTGGTCAATGCTGTGGGATGAAGGGAGCCGTGCGTGGCTGTGCAAGACGGTTTGGTACGGGGGATTGGAGGAGGAGGAAGGGTGTGCGTTGTGGTGTGTAGGGGGGGGGGGGAGAAAGAGCGTGTGCTTATGAGGTGGCGAGTTTCGTTCACAGCGGGTTTTGGTTGGATGGTCTAGGGTTGTGTTGATGCGTATTGTTTGCGAGTAGGGGGGAGCGGTAGTGGCGGAGGGGGAATTCGGTTGCTGATTATTCAAACTTGTCTTGAGTGAGCGGGCAGGGGTGGAGTCGAATAGGGCATGGGAGGGTGGTTGGTTCGGCGTGGATGCTCTGATGTGGAGGAGTTCGAGAAGGAGTGGCAAGTAGTGGTTGGCGATTGTGGAGAGGAGTAGCTGCTGGGAATGGCCTTGTGAGGAGTGATATCGCGGTTGTTGAGGTGTTCAGTTGCAATGAATAGGAGTTCGAATAGGGTATTTGTCGTTGGGAGGTGACTTGTTTTTAACGGTGCAGACTGGTATTGGTTGTTGTCATGCTTAGATCTCGGAGGTAAGTATGACCAAAGTTCCCCATTGAAGGAAGCAGTATTTTGTATAACTAAGTTCATCAGAAGGGGTTGAAGCTGCGTCAACCGTGTTGAAGAATATATTTTCTTTTGACCAAACTCAGCACCGGCGAGTGGAGTGCCATTGGTAACTTTCCAAGCGGGAGAGGTCGAGTTACATGTGACACACAATCTGTTTGAGGACTGCATCAATGTGCGGGAGCGATGGGTGACGATTTTTGAAGTAATCCGAACAAAGACCTCGTAACCTAAAGGATCTAGATTTGAAGGAGAGAAAAAAAGCGCTCAGGAAGTTGGAGGGTCTGTTATGCTCGACACAATAGAAGGCGTTTTTTTTCATTTGATGATTATCTGTACCAAGGATTCCTTCATTCTCCGGTGCTCCTGTTGTGAAGAGGAGGCGTAAGTGCTTATTTGCTTCGGCCTCTAGCGTTGGATGATTGTTTAGTTTTGAGACAATAAGGGACGTTGAGAATTGGTCATCGTAGAGCGAATCTGAGGGCGTTTCATTGTTGGGAAGTGACTTGAGGCGGGGGGTCCTCATGCATATAGAGCATTTCCTAGCGAAGGAGCACGGCAGGAACTGTCGTAGGATCTCAATGCCGATGCTCGCGACTGATCACTTTGACAGGCTGCCTGACTCGCTGCTACTTGTGATCTTCAACAAGGTAGCAGACATTAAGGTTCTAGGGAGGTGCTGTGCTGTTTCGAAGAGGTTTCACTCTTTGGCACCATTGGTGGACAACGTTGTGGTGAAGGTTGACTGTGTGATTTCCGGAGAAGAGAATGGTTTAAACGCTAGAGGCAGAGGAATTATCAGTCATTTTGTACGGTTTGTTGTGGGAACTTTAGTAAAACCTCTTCAGGCCTTAACACATCTTTTGGGACCAAAGAAGACTATTCTTGCCGAAGTGTCTCATCATTCTCCGAGTGAGGTTTTGAAAAACTTCAAGGAGATTCAGAACTTGAGAATCGAATTACCTGGTGGAGAACTTGGGATCGAGGATGGTGTGCTATTGAAGTGGAGAGCTGAGTTTGGAAGTACTTTGGAGAGCTGTGTGATACTTGGGGCTGCATCGCTTGTGAAGGTGGAAAAAGAAAAAAAAACAGTTAAACTAGAGGGAGTTCGTCCTTGGTTTCTGAATGGCAGAGACGATGGAGCATCTCAAGTAGCGGCCGAAGATAATAGCGAAACCCCAAGTAATCTCGTGGATGAAAGTGGTACGATTCCTGAGTCTTTCTACACTGATGGTGGACTGAAGGTAAGGGTCGTGTGGACCATTAGCTCTCTTATTGCTGCGTCTGCAAGACACTACCTTCTTCAGCAGATTATATCTGACCATCCGACACTTGAAAGCCTGGTTCTTACGGATGCGGATGGACAAGGTATGCTGTGTATGAACAAAGAGCAATTGAGGGAATTCCGAGACAAGCCTTTGGCAGCCTCTGCGTCATCAAACAGGACTCAAGTGCCTGCTTTGAACATGAAGCTATGGTATGCACCTTACTTGGAGCTTCCGGAAGGAACTGGTTTGAAAGGAGCAACACTGGTGGCTATCAGACCTAGCGAGCAATCTGCTCGCAAGGAAGCAGAGAATTTTGTATCGGGAGCTTTCGAAGAGCCTTTTAAGACTGCAACAAATTTGCTGGTGAAGCGACGAACTTACCTTCTCGAGATGAATTCATTCTGAAACTCATATCGTTGTAACATAGTATATATTGCATGTTCACTTCGGAGCCGCCTCTCATGTATGCCAACCGTACCGACGGAGGATGTGAACTTATCCTCGCTTGTGGCAAAATCTCTATGCTTGTGAAATCATTGCGAGTATGAACGGAAGTAGGAGCTCTCTGTCCCGCATTTGAAGCAGCTGTGGAGTGGAAGGTCTATGATGGGCGAACTGGTGTTTATTTCTCCTGTACAAATTTCAGCAATGCACTTGTCTACAGAGCTTTGCTTACCTGCTGTACAAATTGCAGTGTTCGTGTCCCTACTTAAGCTGTGCCTCATTCGACACATATGTAATGTCGGGAGCAGAAACCTGAGAACAGATTTGACCCACTTGCTTGAAATTTTTCGTCCACCAATGGCGCTATCGAATGGTGAGAACTATTGCTGATTTACAAGTAGAGAGATATTGATGCTCTGAAGTGGCTAGGAAAAAGGAGACGAAGAAGCATTGCATTCGATTAGTCGGAAGAAAATGTGCACATATTATCGGGCTTGCAAAGATATCGACTGATGCAGATCTCCATCAGTGTTTTAGACGGTATGGATTATTCAAAGGCTGATTTGTCTCATACACTCTCTGCCCGGACAGTCATGGCGGAAGCATGCTATTAGGTGCCTTAATAGTCTGCAGTTAGGTCGAAAATCTTCTAGTAATGGGTTTTTGCACATTTTCACTTCTAATTTTACCTGGAAATTTTAGTTCAAGTATGAATATTGAGCTTGGTCCATGTGCAGAAACCCTCCCACCTATCGGTTGATCATGTTCCCTGCCGTAGTTTCCTGTATCCTTCACTACATTGTAGCGTTTATTTCAACTTGGGATCTCAAGTGTGGTATCTAATGTGCAGGATATTCTTCTACGCATCAGGCTTTTAAGCTCCGAGGTCTACTGTAACATATTTTTTGGTCATAAGTTTTTGGCTGACCATGCTCAAGCTGTGTACAGAATTTCCTTTGTCGTGTGCTTCACTTTTTGGATCAACTTAAGTACACTGGTCTGTGGTACCCAGTTTGTTTGTAGGTCCTGTCCATACACTGGGATTGTGTTGCATACGATGATAAAAAACGAGATCGGAATTCTAGTCGGCGTCAAACGTGGGTTTGTTAAGGCGAATCAATCTGCTCCTGGTACTCTCGATCAGTATTACTCTCATTTGAGGAATACAAGAACTTGTATCTGTCATCTGCGACGGTTTCGGTTCCTGCACGATCAAAAATTGATGTCCTCAATCGGAAGGATTGTTCCTGACCTTTCCTTCATGCACTGATCGGTGGAGCTACGTTTCGAGATAGATGATGCCTTTTCGTACGCTCAACTGGTGGTGCTCAGCGTAGGCTTCGGAAGCGGTGCAGCCGCATCCACCCGTAAACATTCATATTATCTTCAACCGCAATGAACTCCTGAGGATATTTTAAAATAAATGTTCTATATGAGAGATCTGACGTCTGAGGTTTCCGTGCACTCCTAATCGCGTAAGAGCATTTTTATTGGATTACGAGAAATCGTGACGATGATAGCTGTAGGTTCTGTGATTCATGTTCCACTATTTGCGCCCTGACATCACATTCCATTCTGGAAACATTCGGGGACGCTAAATGAGTTGAGTGTGGCGGGGGAAATCTTGAGATATTAATAAAAACAAGGAGAGCGAGCGACCGTTCTGGTCTCCGGAAGATGCAAATTCTGTACTGCACAGGTCAGAATTAATTTTCTATTTACGTCTATGCTTAAGGAGTCTGCTGTGGGGCAAACGCGCTGCAGCTCGTAGGTGGGAGTTGATCTTCTATCATCTGCAAAGGTGCATCTTTCTACTCAACTCCCGATCATGCGACTTGTGCAATGGGGAGTGAAGGACGCCAATTTTGTGTATGATGCCACTTGTTTCTTCCAAAACGTTTCCTCCTGCCTTTTCGTACGCTTCCTCCTGTTCAAGTTGCTGGAAGCTAATCCTGGGTAGTGTGGACGAATCTAGTAGTTACCAGTTTCCAGTTTGTGCGAGGTGAAGAGAGGATACCAAGTTGTCTTCCCGGCTATTACTCAGGTTTGTCACCGCGCTTTATTTCCGGAAGAGACTTACGAGAATAGGATGATCATCAAACTGTCGTTTAGACTTTGCATGAAGTGTTCCGATAATTCTCCCAGAGGCTAAAGTTAGCAGTGGCCGACTGAGTCTCTGCATTGCTGGGCTCGAATTAATGCATTCTTAGATTGTGAAATATGCATGTCACTTTTGATAAATCAGAAGAATCTGTGAATCAAAGAAAATTTGAAGCGGATTAAAATAGAGTTTCTTCCCTCTGCTGGCACTCATATGACTGGAATTTTTGGGGGTTCTCGATGTGGATAAGTGAAGTAGAATTTGATTTCCTGGAGCTAAGCTCAGTCTTCCGGCCACAGCGGAGGCATCGTATCCCTGCGAAGCTTGTTCAGCTTTCAGATTGACAGCACCAGAGTCACAGGCGAGGCTCAATTTGTTTCTGAACGCATGTCTTGAAGCTTGTCTCATGCTCGCATCCATAGGATGACCCCGAATCTCTTTACAAAAATCACACTCTTCTTCACCAAGCATTACGGTTGTTCAAAAGCTTGGCTGTAGGTTCCGTTTCTTGAGGTGCTGGATTCGCTTTACTCAAAAATACCCAACAAAGCAATGCTACAGTCTCTGTTGTTGATTGCAAAATTTCAAGGAAAAGATTAGAAGAAAAATCCTCTGCTCTAAGAACGTAAGGCTACGAGTGAAGGATTTGACGGCAATCTGAGCTGGTAAACACTTGAGGAAAGGAATGAGTATCTAATCTCAAATAAAATACTGTCCACACAACCATGCCTTAGATGATATTATGCATGATTTAGAAATAGAAGCTGCGAATGCTTGGATCCTTGAGGCTCCCTCCATTATCCTAGTTTGGCAATAAACTCCACTTGACCAGTTTCCATTGGGTGGCTTGCCCCAACAAGTCCATTAGCAAGCGTTTAGTAGCCGACCGTGTGAAGAAACGACAAAGGACTATCTGGATGAAGAAGGAAGCGGAATTTTATCGTGGATCCGCTTTGGATTCGGAAAACCAACAGCCAACGGTGAGTGATCTTCCAATTAAACACCTGCACAGTTCACATTCTGTGGCCAACATGGGGACTGGGTCCACCCTTCAGGCCACAACGTCGCAACGCGCTTTCCGACGCCGAGCGCGGTGGAGATGAAGCCACTGTTGACAAGACGGACGGAAGCGCGACGTAGACTATAATTAGTGAACGTGTTCCTGTTTTCCGGTAACGGACGGAAAAAGCGGATGGGACTCGACGACGACCTAGTTCCAGGGCATTGACGACACAAGACGAACAGAGCGCTAGCGAGACCTGGCCCGAGACGCTCTTTCATTGCCAAGACAAGCGCGTCGCTTCCTGACACTCCGCTATTGGTCCATCGTTGTTGGTTCTCCAGGGAGTGGAGAGAAAGCCGCGACGCGCCTTTCCCTGGCGGTGAGAGCTTCTCCAGGGCCTTGTTCCTGCCCTCAGGTGCTTTATTCCGACATTGATGGAGTTGATGTTGAAGTGGTGCAACAGTTTGGGCGGGATATCGTCGTGCGCTGTTTGGAGTGCCCGCTTGCTTGCACGCTACTCTGTGATGCTTTGAGAACAAAATTAGATTCGTGGAGGGACACTGCAGGAGTGATTCAGGTCTCTACTTACATATGTGTTTTGAAAAATACTATTCGATTTCGTCTTTGGTGCATTTCTCGTCCAGTCTGAGGCAATCGGTGATCACATTTCGTTGCTTGCGGGGAGCAGGGAGTAGTGAGTGTTAGACTTGCGAGTGCTGATGTGTGGAAATCAACTAGATGTATGGATATCGTTTTATGTGGCCTTGAGATTTTTGGCGGTGAAAATATGTCGACGTTTCTGTGTTTGGTCTTTTTCCGTTGCTTGTAGAGATGACTGTCGCCACTCAGATCCGGACGTTTTCTGTGCTTGCGAGGTGGATGTTCGGTTAGCACACGCAGTGAGATGCATTTTTAAGTGTTCGAGCGTTGACGTGTTTTCCAAGCAATCGTCGTCACAAGCTGGTCCAGCGTTTTTGAATTTCGTGGTAGCATTTGGTGAGGTCTTATAGCGTAGTTAAACTAAGGATCAGCTGAAAATGCATTCTTCCATTACAGGCAGTGAGAAGAAGCTTAGATGTAACCCCAAAATCACGTAATATCCTTCAACAACTGCCAGCTTGCTGCGTAATCTTGATGAAACCCTCGAACTTTATTTTTTAATTTTTTTAAAATAATTAAATTCACTTAAAATTTATCCGAAATGTTAGACCTAGAATTTCCATTTAAGCAAGTGTCTTGGCTGGTTTTGCACTAACTGTCGGTTTTCCACGTTCTTTACTGTAACTGAAATGTGTATGGGGTTTATTATCGTTTGAACAGCGGTTTCGCCGAATGAGCATCTGCATCACATAGTGTTGCATCCAGCAGAGCAGTTCTCTCATATGTTTTTTGAAATTCCTAGTACATTCCTTTCCTCACATACTTTATGTTACTTGACATCTGGTTTTCAAATGGAAACTAATCATGGTTCGAGAGAGGACTTGGGTCATGAGCTATGGATGATTTCATATTCTGTCATCAAGTGCCGTGGAAAGCCTAAAATTCCATTATCATCATGTTGCCCGTTAGGGATTATATCTTTACTTGGTGGGGTTTTGGAAAGCTGGTGCTGGCCTAAGTTTGTTGTATTGTACTCCTAGAACGGCACACGGTCTCATTTGAAGTACTCTTAGAGCAGATAAATTTATTTCTCTTACGCTTTTTTTCATGGAAGATATTCGGTGCTTATTTCATTCTTGAATATAATCAGGATCTGATTCTCGTTTTTATTCTCATTGTCAGGAAGTCAACCTGTCTTTTGTGAACGACCTCGTTTCTCTTCATTTACTTCTTCCCTCCTCGCTGTTCTTTTTAGGTTTTCAAATTTCAAATTTATATATATATATATATATATATATATATATATACATATCCAGTGGCGTGTCATAGCTTATGAATTTCAAGAAGTTTGTATTATTTAAAACCGCTTTTTTCTTTCCAAGCATGTTCAGTTTCAATTCTAATTCATATCACCTTCGGCATATTTTTGCGTATGTTCTGCCAGAGTGATGCTTTTGGTGGTGTGTGTAATAACCGTTGAATTTGATTTCTGAATTAATTGCAAGTCAGTACTAGTCCATTTACTCTTAGTTTTGGAAGTAATCTTTTAATATAAAGCATTACCCATGGATTACAACGTCTTATGTTTTGAAGATGCCAGACTGCGTATCTATGCCTATTTCTAGAAATTCCTATTTCAGAATCAGAACAGTTCCCATGTTGACATTACGATATATTTTGTCGTGCAGGTCCCGAACGGAATAGTTCATTGAAGACAATAACCTGATGAGTTTTAAAAGAGGTTGGAGATCAACAAAATCTGCAGTGGCGAGTTTGAAATTCAGTGATCATTTGGAGTCTTGAGACGCGCTTGTTGGAGACACTGATAGTTCTTCGTTTCAATTTTAATACCAGATTCTATTCGGGCGGTGAATACAAGTTCTAAGATGGGGAACGATAATCTTTCATCCCCAGGGTACCGAAGAGGCTCTTCATCCCCCTTTAAAAGAAGCTTATCATCTCCTGACAGTTCATGGCGTTCTCTTGCGAACCGTCACAAGTTCTTACTTTACATGCTCGGGCTTTTGGTAGTGCTTTGTACCATTTACCTCTACTTCGCAATTACTTTGGGGTCAAGTGACTCATGCTCTGGTCTGGGAGGAGCTCAACGTGTGAGTTGTCAAATGCGAGTTGATGCCATGAAAACCGATTCGTTGAAAGCACATCACCGTCGGCTTCTAAGTGTGGAGGACTCTGGTATGTCAATCATTAATTGTCACTTTTTAAAAACCGAAGCGTATATTTTGAATGCGTGCCTTTCACTTAATTGTTATCTCCAAAATTTGTATTAGCATGTAGTGGACAGTTTTAACTAGTATAGTTTCCAATGACAGGTAATAATTAGAACCTACCTTCTCTTGCCCTCAGTATGTTCTGAGTTGAGCTTGAGGCTTATGGTTGCAGGCATCTGAGTCAATTGCTACCATGTGAACTTATGGATGTTAATATTTTGTACAGATTCAATCGAGATCACTGTTGCGAAAGGAAGTGGTAAAGGAAAAATGAAGGAGTTTATGAGCTTTGTGTCTTCTGTTGCGGGCCGGAAGGATTTGAAAGAAAAGTCAGATCAAATGGCGGAGAATGTCGTGACTCTGAATGGGCAGGAGTGGAAAGGTGATATTGCATCATTTAAAACCATGGTGGATTCTGAACTGAAGAGAAAGAAGCCAAGGCGTCCGAAAGCCTCCCATTTGAGAGGTAACTTTTAACGGCGAAGATGTCGGATCACTTGAGACCAGCTGCTTTAGTTGTGTTCGGCTCCGACTTTATGGGATTGTCTCAATGACAAGGGATGTATGAATTTTTTGCACCAACTTCGGATAGATAGGTTACTGCTCTTGAGCAGTACATGGGGGATGATGATCGTGCACAAACTGTACCATCTGTATCTGCAGATGTACTGTTGAGGGTCACTTCGAGGGACTGAGTGATTGCTACCATTGACAATAGTTTAGATCACTTCATGTGGTTTGCTTTCGAAAGAGTGGTCTGTCGACGCTCAGTCTCTCATGCTCAGTCTCTCAGTATGAGCTCGTTATTTGAACGTTAGCCTTGACTGCTGATATATATGCACTTGACCTGTGTAATTACCGAAATGTACACTGGAGAGGTTTTTGAAAACTTTCGAAGTTCAAGCTTAAAGTGGAGGGCATCTTGTGAAAATAGATGCCTCTTGTATTGAACCTTTTTTTCACTATATCATTCTTTTAAATTTTTATAAAGAATTGGATTTCACACAATATCAAAATATATATTATTTAATAGAGAGCATTTTTGACATTGTGAAGAAAAAACATCTTTTCCCGCAATATACGTTACAACACATTGATGCCTAGAGGCACCTTTTTGTCATTAATGTTTATGAATTAATAAACAATATACGCAACTGTATTTTTGGAGAGAAAAAGTAAAATTAAAATATGTTGCTGTAATAGTCAGTAATGTAATTGTTCGTTAATACGCAGACACTTGCAAATAAAAAAGAAAAATGCATAAAAATTTAGATTTTAAATTATTTAGGACCGAACTTGTGGTATTAAGAAGCAATTCTATAACTTGATTTTCACATAACTTTCGGTTCCAACACACTTTTCAGAAATCAACTAACCAAGTTCATTCTCACAAACAAGATTCTATGATGAATATTTTATTATCAAAAATTCTTAAACTTTCAGTTTTGTGAGACTAAGACATTCTAAAATGCATTTTTTTGAAACATTCTCCAATTTAATGCATGGACGAGATGAAAACATTAAATGACTCTTTAATCAATTAATTATTGTTTTTAGAAAATTCATTAATATCACTATATATTTTTTAATGTAATAAAAAAGTTTTATTTTCAATTCATTTTACACATTGATAAATTTAGTATTTTTGTTTTACCACATTGGTATTTTATTATATACGATATCTCAGAGCGATATGGCTGACGCCATGGTCCCCCAAGGACGACGTCATGGTCCCATCCCCAAGTCCACGTGGACTGCATCCATCTAAAACATTCATCCAATATATCAATCGTTACATATCATCCACTCATCCATCCATCCCACATCTATCCATCCGTCCATCCATTCAGGTTTCGGGAGGGGACGCCACACGAGCATGTCGACCTCGGAGGGGGGCGATGGAAGAGAGCCCTTGGATTTGGATTGTATTTGTATTGTGGCCACTGTTCGGAGTCGGTGCCCTTGTGCTGCCGCGGAGTAGAGAGCCTTGGCCCTGCACCATGGCTGCGGAAATCGATACCAGTTACCTCAGCCTCACTGCTCTCATCACGGTGTCTTTTCCAGCTCCACACCTTGTTTGTTTCTTCTTCGTCGCCGGGATGAGCTTTGAAGTGCTGTTTTGCATTGCTCTGCGTTGGGGTTTTACTGTTACTTAGACAAGCATTTGGACTTGGATCAAACGATTGTTTCATATCACGGGAGCTGAAGGTCGTTCGAGGATGACGATAGGGTCGTTTTTGCATTCTTGCCGCTGCCGTGTGTGTCTAGTAAATGTCGTTGGTAGTAGCGTAATGACGAGCTCTGAGACTACTGAGATTGGTTTGAATGACAGGTTTTAATTTCGCTTCTATTATAGGGTCTAGGGTAGCTACCGAGTAGAATCTATTGGTCAGAGTGATGAAGCGTATTCGTATGCGGGGTCGAGTTTCATCGTGATGAATTCTCGTTGAGGTGTTTATGCTACGTTGGATAGGCCCTCTCTCATGCCTTTTTTGTAGCCTTGAGTCGTATCTCGCCATTCGCAACTCTAGACTTCGAGGTGTTCTATGTGCATGCTGCGCTCCATGCTATGACGTGATTATTGCAGCATTTGCAATCCCTGGCCCTGCTGCAATGAGACGTGCTTATTTGTCTGAACAGATACACTAGCGTTCGTCTGAACCTTGAGCAGGATGCCAGCCTTATTTGGCAGTTTGTGTTTCGTTATGTTCACGGTTCGTGCGGTTGCCAATAAAGGTCACGTGGTCATACTTGATCAACTTGGCAACCACATTTACATACGCATGAGAAAATCACTCTGGTAAATTAGTTTGGATTTCATTGTTGATTACAGGAGCGTTCGGTTGACTGATGGTTACCTTCATCGAATCGTTTCTAGAAAGGGGAAAAGAAAGAAGAGACTGAGTTGTGTACTTCCGTTTGCCCTAGTTCGAATGTTTGCGCATAAAACTTGACGCAACCACATGCTTCTGCTACGCTTAGAAGTGGAATATTTGAAAAGCTATACTGCTCCTTTCACACGAATCACTTTTTCTTGTGGACAAGATGTCCTCGTAAACTAATTCCTCACTGAATTGATGCAAGTCGAAGGTCCTCACTTTCTTTCAGCCAATTGTTTTTGCAGGCTGTGTTCCAATTTACATTTTTTGTTCTTGCAGCAACATTGAAGATTGACAAAGTTACAGATTTTGCAGGTAATGCTATCCATAATTCTCTGAACTGAAGTTTCTTCTGCCTCTTGAAATAAATGAATGCAGTCTTCGAACTTCCTTGGAGTCGATCGAATTCATCCTAAATTTTAGTAATGTCGTTTGTTTCTTGGCATAAACATTGAGAGAGTAGAAATCCATAAATGGTGCTTGCAATGTTAATTATTGCACACAGCATTCTGTTCTGACTCGGACGTACTTTAGTGCATAAAAGATGCTCGATATTCTAACTTTCGAATTTCTCTTTACGGACCAGGTGTGTTCAATTTCGTCGTACTTGCTGTTACGACCTTCTATCTTAATGGCACACTATACCTCCGCCAGGTCAGTCAGGGCGAATTCCGCAGTAATCCATTCTCTTTTAATTGTGTCGAAATGCCACCCTGAGTTTCTTCTATTCAGAAATCATGCTATATATGAACTCTGCAAAGAGAATAGAGCTCGAGTGAAGGTGCTTGACATGTTACGGGTATCTCGGATGCGGGGTTACAGATAGTGTTGACATGCTTAGTTGTGACGTGGGGCCTCCGGTTGTCAATCTTTCTTCTCTTGAGGTACGAAATCCCACTCGCTCCAAAGTGAATTGGGCTTCAACTACACACGATTGCGTTTTATTTGTTTATATATTTTTCTTCGTTATTTTATATGTCGTATAGACTGATGCCCGCTAACAATGAGTTCGGATCGAGGACTATACAGAGTGCAATGTCAGTTCTTCCAGTTACAGGTCGTTCAAGTTTTAAGGTGCCTTTCCGTCGAGGGTTGTACGTCATTGTACTAATGCAAGTGCATGTGCTCCATTTTTGGGACATTTTCAGTTTCATAATTGTGTGATTGCGAATCTTCATAAATATTGATTTAAATAGTTGTATGCTTTATTGATCAATGACGGCTCATGTTGGTGTATGGAAATCGTTTAAAGCTTAAGCGTTTTTATCACTCGTTGTGGATTTGGAGGCAGGATTCTAGAATGGGGTGAAGACAAGCGCATGGATGACAGGCGAGGCCATGTTGCTAGATTTGCTGTATTTTGGACTGTACAGGTATGAATCCTCAATTGAGCCATTTTTATCTGATAACTACGATGCTTCTCATAAGAGCTTTCTGTATTTGATTATCTTGTAGAGAGGTTCAGCAATATTTAATCATATCAACTCGGATACCTTCATCCTGTGACATGCATATGTCCTGGCTAATACTTCTGAGGTGTCTGATGACAGGGCATATGGGTGTGGACTGTATCCCTCCCAGTTACCGTTGTGAACGGAATCGTAACCCGAAATCCAGAAATTCAAATGACCGATATGTTGGGCTGGACTATGTGGGGCATTGGCTTTATCATTGAAGCAATCGGCGACCAGCAGAAGCTTCGTTTCAAAAGAAATCCAGCGTCTGCGCATAGGTGGTGTGACGTTGGTGTGTGGAAGTGGACTCGGCACCCGAACTACTTCGGAGAGGTATTTAGATGCCTTACTGGTTGAGTGTGCAGGTATTGTGGTATGGATCGAGGCTCCATTTGCATAGGATGTAGACGATAAGACGTTTTGTAGTCGAGTCTCAACATTAAAAGTAATCAACTCGGTTCATTTGCCTTAGATTGGAGCATCGTTTTCCCTCTCACTCAAGTTTTTGAGATTAACACTTTCCTATCGCGGGACAGATTCTTTTATGGAATGGAATCTTCGTGTCTACTACGTCAGTGCTGGAAGGTGGTCAATGGGGGGCTATAGCCAGTCCAATCTTCATCACCCTCCTTCTCCTCTTTGTCAGCGGCATTCCACTTCTCGAGGTTGTCACTTTTTCACTTATTTCTCTGATTTTCATTTCTTTGTTGCAATATCATTTCCCTTTCTACTTCAAGTCGCACCTACAATATGGTTTTTCTGCCGTTAAAGACAATCCTAATCTACTTACAAGCGCAGAAGTCAAAACTCCCACCATTTCCTTCTGATGTCTATATCTTGGTATTTGCAAGAAGCTAGTCAGCTAACTTTCTATTGTGGATTGGAGCAGGTATCAGCCGATGAGAAGCATGGAGGAAATCCTGAGTACCGTGCGTATAAAAATAGAACGAGGTACTGTTTATGGGGTTCTTTGTATTGGTTATTTAGAATTTGTATCAGGATGTCACTAAAATCAGAACAGGTATCTTGATTATAAGCTGTAAATCGAAGGGAAATTGTGGAGAAGTTTTGGGTTACGGATTGGAATTATCTGTCATTTTACAGTATCAACCTATCTACATTTTATTATTATTAGTCTGAAGTATTCTGTAACTTCTTTACACACCAACCCCGTCGCGCATGCATTTATAATGAACTGTATGGTGTGACAGCCCTCTCATTCCACTTCCACCTGCTCTCTACGGGAGTCTTCCGAAGTTCTTGAAGGCTATGTTTCTCTTTGAGTTCCCGCTGTACAATAATATCAAGCTGGCTGCAGGTAATGAGTGACTACCACCCGAGAACTAATTTTTAGATTAATTTTCTCACTTTTGTGTCCAGTGATTTGTTAAAGATTACCGATACTTTCTTTCAAGAGGTCAGCTGGGTTTTGTGGCATGTGGTGACATATTGCTATGCGCTACTCTCTTGACTGCCATAAGTGCTCTGCTAGCTTCATTTTCTGTAGAGGCCATTGGAGGATATCATTACATGGCTGGAAATTACCTTTGGTGTGATTACATGTTTCATGTATTCGTTGCCGTCATCTAAACTAAGATGTGAATTTTGACAGATTAGGAGATCAGCTCACACATGGGCATCGCCTGGGGAGCTCTACATTATGGACATGGGTTTCGTGAACTCGCTGAACACAGTGTACATCTCAAGACAAGAGTAGTTAACGATAGCAGGTATGGTTGTATTAGTCTTGATATCAGAGAAGCAAAGAAATCACCTCTACTTGGAGTATCATTGTTTATCTGGTTTACCATGACTTTTGCACTGGTTGGTATTCAGCTCAATGTTTCGCCTATGGAGTATTTAGATACTCGTGTTTCACTTTCCTCATTTGCTCTGAATGTTGCCAGCTAACAGAAGGTTCTTCTTTTTCTTATGCCTTTTTAAAGTTTTCTTTACTGCCAAGTGTGTTCAACCTTCGTCTATATTCTCCTACTTTCTTTGATGATTATAATGTTGGCGAATCTCCATATGCACCAAGGATCATATCCTGTCAGACACCTGTCAAGTCTGCAGCATGTTCAGGCTTTGCAAATGCATAAATTTCTAATTTTAAGAAAATCCAATTCAACTCCTGGTTTTTATGCGCTTTTGGAGTTTGGCTATCCCTTCGCAGACGTGTATTTATTTACTTAGATGTTCTCAAATCGCACCTGATAAGTTGGATTACGTTGGATCCTTCAAAGTCGCATCCTTGACTGTCAAACTAAGTTGTTATCAAATGTCAATGAATTCAACTTAGTTTCCATTTTTTATAGCTCAAAAGAAGAATTTCTCCTTTTTCTGTTAGGATTTTTTAATAAAGAAATAATTTCCATCCATTCCACAAATACATATCGCCTAACAAATCTTTGAATTTTATTTGAATTGAGTAATACTATTGCGGCATTTTATTTCCATTTTTATCAAACTTTGTTCCACTACTTCACTAGCACGAACATATATATATATATATATATATATATATATAAATAATTTATATTCAAATGCTGACAGTTTCATCCTGGCAATTGAGAGTCTTAAACACTCTCAGCTTACTCCGTTCATGGCTAATTTGAAGTCCATGTTGGACAGCTTTGTAGTGCCCAGTAAAAGAAGGCTAGTACAAGAGTGGAGAAACGGAGCTGCCAAATTTGAATGAAAAATAGCCCAAAAGACTTGAAAACGTGCCTCGACCTTCGGCAACTTTCCATGGTTTGCTCGTTCACCGCATTGACTTGGTGTTCATTTTAGCAGAAGCTGGAAAACCTTCGCTTCTGCTTCCAGAAGAAATAGAGGCGGTCAGATATGTTTGTAAGAGACACGTATTTACACTGGGTCACCAATTCCCACCCGGCTGATTTTATGTTGGAGCGTCGAAGTCCAGTGAAGACAAATGCAGAAGTCCTGTTTTGACCATACAAAACAAATTTAGCCTGCTTTCGTTGTTATTTGAGGAATACCTGGCCTTCTAACTAGCTTCTCATGTATGGATCAAGCGCTGACGAGGCATTGGAAAACAGGTGAAGTAGGGAGTGGACCGGTTGACTAATCATTGACGACTTTTCTGTACAATTATTCAAGCATAATAGAAGTTCATCAATCAGCCGATTCTAACATCCTTACCGCCGTTCTAGGTTTTGCAACTGTAACCATTCTGTGTTCTTAATTTTGTGGGTCTCTTTTGACCAGGAGACGCGACGAAATCCCAACGAGGGTTTGGTCAATTCCTGCAAGAATGCGAAGAAGGTTGAAGTTGATGAAGTCAAAGTAGGATCTCTACTTTATGGAATATGAGGACTAGTGGTTTGATTGTTGACTTGACCTGAGACTAAAGGGCAGAACACCGGATGATCGTTGGGTTGTTGCCTAATTTCAAATGAAGGGGACCATTGAACAAAATCGCTTCCCCTGTAACGAAACAGGCGCTGCTAACTGAGTCTGATTCTGTATACCGCTTTGCTCGCTTTTTATAATGCTGAGTCAATAGAAGGCATCGATACCCAACTTGAGAAGTTCATCCATCGAGCCTTGTCCCCAAAACCAAGCCCACATCTAGCAAAAGTCTGCACAAAGTTCTGGGATGTCTTCGGAATAGGACCAGAGATCTAGGTTCTGGGTCGACACTCTCAAGGACGACTCTGTTCGTAGCAGAAATGCCTCAGAGCACACGCCTGTTCTGTCGCATTTGACGCACTGCACGAGCTGTTGCATCGTTTAAGCGCTTTTAGTGCGGCTATCTGCGGAGGTTTGTCCTGCAGGCGATTACCCAGGTTACCCAGCACCGAGAACCAGAGTTTGAGTTGACGAAAGAGGTGGTAGCTATGGCGGAGAAAAAGGTTTTCACTTTGGAGGAGGTGTCGGGGCACAACCACGCCAGAGATTGCTGGCTCGTCATCGGCGGGAAGGTGAGCTGTGGGTCTTGTGCTGGAGCTTTGTATCTGGGCTCGGTTTGTGGCGTTCTGAAGAATGGCTTTGTGTAGATCCGGGTAGGGAGATGTTGTGGTGTTCCTGGGGATTGCTTAATGGTTTGCGATTCGTTGTATCACTGTGAAACTGTGGTGGAGCAATGTGAAACTTATGATTGTGCTGTTCGATGGAATGAGCGTTGCGGGTCATGGGATATTATCTCGTGTACTTAGGGCTTGATTGTACATTTGGTATATGTCGATTGTATTTTTTGGCTTTTATGTTGTGGATTTACCAGCTGCTGCGCCGGAAGGTGTTACGAGTTTTGTGTGAGAACTAGTCATTGATGCCTGTGTTTTTTTTAGTATTTTGATTAGGTGTGATCCCTGCCTCTGTGTTTCTTGTCATGCTTTTTTCTTCCATGGGAAAATCCGATTTGGACGCTGCTGTTCCGAGGTTGCGCTGTATGCGGCTTAGTTACTCAACAGTACCAGAAGTAATGTATGAGCGGATTTATTTATTTATTTATTTTCTTCTTCTTTCTTTTCTTTTCTTTTCAACTTTTTATTTTATAGGTGAAGTTAATTCACTGAATAGAGTCAGCATAGATTGATCGTAAGCGGCAGTTTCGTTAAACGTTCTGGCCTGTCCAGCGAGTTTAGGTCTTTCTTGAAATGTTCGAATATAAAGCATTAACTAGCTTCCTTCTAAATTCACTGTCTTGCAATCCGGACAGCCGAAGATGACATCCAGAACCTGCTGTGATGGTTCTATTGTCGTTTTTGTCGACGTATATGGCTCGAGAGTACAGTTTCTTGACAGGGAAAAAGGATTGTCGCCGTGTTTGATTGAACCTCCCCTTTATGGGGATATTCTATTGCTTCATAATGAGTGCGATTAGTTTATTGGGCATATTTTTTTGGGTGAGCATTGCTCTTTATTGCTGGATTTCAGTGTTGTTTCTCCTAGTGATGCATTAGATGGTTCAATCCATCGAACTTGTTTTTCACCTGTTCCCTGATCGTGAGTGCATGGTGCAATGTTGAACCTCTATGAAAGAGTCAAGTTCTAATTGCCATTCATCTTTGTCTTACAGTCTCTGTCTGATGCATGAAGAATAGCAGCTAGTTTTACTACTATGTTCTCGATTGTATATAGAGGTCAATTATTGGCATGTTGTGACTGTAGTAATAGCCAGAGCGTATTTTTTTCAAAGATATTGCGTTGCTCCATGGTCCTAGGTTTATGATGTTACCAAGTTCCTTGAAGACCACCCAGGAGGTGACGAAGTTCTCCTCTCAGCTACTGGTATGTGCTCATAATCTTTAATACCATCTTTGTTGTTTTTGGCTTTCAGTGCTTAAAATGAATGCACTCTTCTGTTGAATATTTTGTATGGGATTTATATGAAATTCATGAAATGTATTTGTTTTACGTTCAATGTATTTTTTTTTTGTCTTTTTTTAAAAAACTAGGTGGGCGGGGAAAGGTAAGGTAGGTGCAGGTTGTATGGGAAGGGTATACTGCACGATGGTACTGAATTATGGTAGGAAACAAGGATGCATGCAATTACAGCAGTGAGACAGTTGTTCTAATGCTCTTACTTTATGGATTTCAGGGAAGGATGCCACCGACGACTTTGAGGATGTTGGTCACAGCACCAGTGCAAGAGTACTGATGGATGAATACTACGTTGGGGAAATCGACCCTTCCTCCTTTCCTGACAAGCCTACATTCACGCCTGCCAAGCAAGCTACGTATAACCACGACAAGAGCTTCGAATTTCTTATCAAGATATTGCAGTTCGTTGTACCTCTTGCCATTTTTGCGCTGGCAATTGCTGTGCGGTTTCTCACAAAGAACGAAGACGTCAAGAGCATGTAAAAGGTATTTGTCCCCATTCTTAGTTTGTCATCATAGTATTGCTTGCTGTGGAGATATCTAGTATTATGTGCGTTGGAGATTTAACAATACCAGAAGTCTCTTTGTATAACAGCAGGGTGGATAGATATATACTGGATAGAGATAGAGTGCTTTACCACTAATCATGTAGGGTTGTAGCAATCAAAACTTGCATGGAGGGGCATCGATTTGACTCGCAAATGAAGGACATGTCTCTTCATCTGCATCACAATAATGTTTTTTCAAGGTTTTTGGTTGACTTGCTCTAGTACATTCACGAACACTATTTTCCAGATAGATGTGCCGAAGCATGTGCTTTTCACTATACTTATTCTTTGCACTTTAACTTTCAATTTATTGATTTATTTCCTTTTTTTTGACATGCATGGATCTGTTGGAACATCGAAAAAACAATTAGTAACAAACCATCTTCTCTTAGGATATACTTGTTTTAAATCACATTTGAATATGTCTTTTCTTTTAATATTTGTTCCTATTAATGAAATAATATAATAAAAATTTAATTGATGTAGTAATTATTTATTGCAATAAATTGAAATAAGTCTCATTTAGAAAAAAATTTGAGATGTTTTTTTTAAGGATTATGTAGATGAGATATAATTTGTAAATATTTAATATTAGTAATGACAAGTAGGTATTCTATCTTATTACAATATATAAGAGTTATTGATAATTAATAAAAATTACTAATAAAGTACATATTTGATTAACTTCATTTGACTTACATTTCTTGTCATCCAAATATTGTTTTGAAGTAGATTTTGTAATTAAGTTCTCTCATGTGGTTTAAAATAAATGTGTTCTATGCTTTAGTAATTGTGTCTTGTGGTCCTATCTTTATTAAGGACATATAAAAAATCAAATAAAGAATCAACATAAGAGTATAAAAAAAAACATAACAAAATTAGCAAATTTGTTATGTTTTTAATTAAATTCAGTGAAACCTTATCTAACATAAATCCTTATACATGAAGAGCATCTTTATGGTTGTTGAAGAAGCTTTATTGACTTATTGAATGAAAGAAAATCATAGAAAATTTGTGATGGAATTGCAAAGGTTAGAATGGCTTATCTTGTCATGTACAAACTATTAGTTTGTTTTGTAGATAGAAGATTCTTTAAAAAAAAAGAAAATTTAGATAACTGGTCCTTTTGACAATATACAAGGCAACATTGTAAGGAAAAAAGTATTTTTGGCTCAAATAGTGGTTAAAAGAATATGTTGGTGCCATTAAGTTAGTTGCCAAGTATTTGTTAGTAGAAGATTAGGCACCTTTTGTCAAGGACAAGAACTTGATAAAAACAAATAAACAAGTGAGACTTTTCTCAAAGAAAGATGAAAAAATAGAAATAACTAAATATGTACATTAAGAAAGAAATTGGAATGGCTATTGCCAAAAGATAAGAAAACTAAAGATCCTTGAAACTAGACTAGAAGCAAGAAAGGAATTGACAAGAGTGAAGAAGGCTTCACTCTTGCCTCTATATATACTATCTACATAGGAACTATGTGGCGACATTCTATAGGACCTCCAAAAACGTATTGATTTTGTACAACACGTATCTTAACTTGCAAGGCAAGTTTTTTTTATGGGCGCGACATAGTTAGCTTGTTCCACAAGCTACCAACATGTGTGGCACATGGTTAACTTGTTGACCAAGTTTCTAACCTACCAATCAAATATAAACACATGTAAAGTCAAAGCAGCGTCTATAAAGCTTTTAGGAAGCTTCTCTAGACGATATTATGAAATTAATCAAGGTTTACATACTTCTACCTATTCATATCACCTAAATAACAATTACAGTAAATATATGTCCGTGATATTATCTCCCTTTCTACGGACAAGTTCCACAAGGAGTGATGATTACATGTCGAGGAAGTCTAAGATGTAGCGAATTATATTTGTCACATATTCTGATCTTTTTTCTCTTCAAAGATGATTGATAGGGCCTCTCAAACATCGATAGTATCCCATACCAGGGCGGAAAGACCACCCAATTATTTAATCATTGTTGAGGCCTTCATAACTTCCTTCAAATAAAACATTTGGAACACTATCACGAGTTGTTCTTTCTTCTAATAAAATCTCCAAATATCGGGAGTCCCTTCCAAGGTCGTGATACCAAACGTGTTGTATCTTGCCATCTATTTGAGGAATAACATGTCATTCTTGAGGATCTTCATTTCGATTGCATCTTCATGAAGGTTGTGACAATCATAATGTCTTATTCGGCACGTCAGCAAACCAAAGCTCTTGAGTCAAATCCGCTAATTGTTGGATCTCCATCTCCTCAGCATTACAACTACAAAGAAGCTACAAATAAGGATTGAAAGTAGAATGTTATCTTGCTTAGAACTTATTTTTTTTATAAGGAAGGTTTTCATCTTGATTTTGATGGATGTTGTTGATAAAAAGCCTCCATTGCATTTGCTCTATTTGTAAGATTGGACATATCAAGAAGAAGATAAATAAAAAAATGCAACTAGATTGATTCGTACAGAAATAGAAAATGATCCAAGCTTTTGATAGTCCAACTTGTTACAAGGACGAGTAGTCTTTGTATTATGATGAAATAACCATACCTTGTCACCTATATAGAATGGTGATTGTTCCTTTCGATATACATCCACATTGATCTTTTATTTTTTTTGAGCTTCTTTTAACTGCGCCTTCATTGTTGCATGTAGCTTTGTCAAATGATTTGCCAAATCTTTTGCCACAAGATTATTTGCTTTTGAAAAGTCAAAAGTATCAAGTCATGGATGAAAATCATAATTGACAAAGAAAGGTGTTTGTTTTGTAGAAGAATATATCGTGTTATTATAAGCAAACTCTACCAATGGTAAAAGAATTGTCCAATCAACTTATTGGTAGTTGATGGTACATCTTAAATACTACTCCAAAACTTGATTAATATACTATTGTAATACGTGAAGTCTTGCTTGAGAATGCTCCGGGCACTTGGCTGTGGAAGGAAGAATAGAAATTGCAATAACAAAGTCGTAATTCTAATAGAATACTAACAATGCTCTAATTAGACCATAATAATGCTAAGCAAGCTTAATCAAATTCAAAAAAACCTCAAAGAAACTTCAAAAAAATAATAAGAATTCTTAAAGAAATATTAGAAGGATCACAAATATCACTCAAATACATCTCAATTAAATCTTAATTTAATTCTAGTTAAAATCCTATTGAACTTCATTCAAATTTTAGGCCAAAATTAATTAAATCTTAAATCCTAATAAAATCTTAAATCCTAAATCAAACCCTAAATAAACCTTAAACCCTAAATAAAATCCTAACCAAATCCTAAACCAAATCGTAAATCCTAAATCAAATCCTAAACCCTAAACCAAACTTTAATCCAAACTCTAAATTCTAAACCAAATTCTAATCCAAATCCTAAATCCTAAACCAAATCCTAACCAAATCTTAAATCCTAAATAAATCCTAATCAAATCCTAAACCAAATCCTAAATCCTAAATCAAACCCTAATCAAAATCCTAAATCCTAAACCAAACCCTAAATCAAATCCTAAACCAAATCCTAAATCAAATCCTAAATCAAATCCTAAACCATAAACCAAATCCTAATCAAACCCTAAACCAAAACCTAATCCTAAATTAAATCCTAACCCTAAATCCTAACCAAATCCTAAACAAATACTAAATCCTAAACCAAACCCTAAACCAAACCCTAACCCTAAACTAATTCCTAACCAAACCATAGTAATTCCTACAACAGATTTAAACCTCAATAACTAATAAATAAACCATTGATCTTAATTCAAATTTTACTCACTTCTTAAAAACTAAGTTGAAAATAATTACAAATTTTTTGTAAAGGATCGGAATTACCAAATAGACGATAAACTCAAAAACGTGCTCAGGTATTGGTTGGCCTCCTTTTCCAACCTTGATGTCAATCTTTCAGAGCCAATATCTCTCCTTTGCATTATTTGATTGATCTCAAAATTATCATACACATAGAAAAATAAGTCTAATATCCTCTCACATAAGTTTCACTCTAATCCAACTAGTAGATTGCAATAAATCTTAAAAACTCTCACTAGATCTAAAATTCTACTTTCTAAGACCTTGACCCTCTTAAACCTCAATATCTCTCAAATCAACCGTTAGATCTAACTCAAATTCACAATACATATTAAACACATTTATGACCATAAATTTAAAATTTTTTACCTATAGATCTATTACAAAACTCTTGAAATCATCCAAAATATAAACCCTATTTTATTTCATAAAATTCAAGTCATCCAAAACAAACCTTGACTTTGTAAAGCTTTTACAAAGTCATAACAACTCCAAATCATCCAAAATCAATGCATATAGAAATCCTATCCAACTCCACTCTCTGATCTGCCAAAGAGTCTTGGAATCGTCATCGAGACTCGGTTTTGTGCCTCAGGGTCGGATTTCGACCCTGGATCATAACCGATCCTCTCCGAGTAACAACATCTAGTTTTTTTAAGTAATTTTTACTAGAATTTACTCTTAACTTCGTCCTAAAGATGTCTATATCATTTATTTTTCCAATCTACCTTATTTTGCCTTATTTTTGGCCCTACAAAGTAAGTAGAAGCTATTTTTTCTAAAAGGGCAGCATTACTATCAAAAGTTTTACTACCTTCTTATCTTTTATCTATATTTTTCTATTTTTTCTTTTAACTTGGCTCTTCTATAATAAGATCCATATTATCATCTTACACCATATAGTCATGTTACAATACAACAATGCTCCATTTGTCTATCAGTTTGAAGATGGAATGTTGAAGAAAGTTTTATATCCACTTTTAGAATCTTGAAAAGAATTTGCCAAATCTTGATACAAATTGAGTTCCTTTATCTGATATAATATCCTTGGATAATCCATAATAGTGATAGATATTGTTAAAAAAGAGCTTAGCTAATTCTTCATGTATGATAGATTTTACACATGGTACAAAATGTGCCATCTTCGTAAAATAATCTAATATCATGAATACAGAGTCATAAGAACCTGAGATTGGAAGATCCATGATGGAATCCATAAAAACAAAAGATCATAGTTATTCTGGAATGGATAATGGCTGAAGAAGCTTGTAAGGTCGATGATGAGGAGTTTTTGATCTTGAGCAAACATCACAAGTTTGTACAAAATCTTTGACTACCTTCCACATTTGGAGCCACCAAAAATCCCCGGATATTAGTTCCAAAGTTTTATTATACCTAAAATGTCATGCTGTTGGAAAGTCATGACGAGCTTGAAGAACATGTAATCAAGTTTCACCTTCTAGAACATATAGGCATCTCTCAAAATATAG